CTCTGGGTGGGTTTTGCTGGCGTCCAGGCTACCTCGAATGAATGCACTTTAGTAAATCAAGGAGAAGTGGCTATTAAAACGCATTTCATGATGTGCCTTTAAAAAGTATAATATTTTACAATTCTGATTTTAAAAGGGGGAGACCACTTTCCTACTCAAAAAAAATCTCTCTGAGCTGAAGCTCATTTCTCCCGCCCTCTCCCATCCTGCCGCTCCGCAGGCTCAGCTGCAAGGCATTCTTGAGATGTTTCGCAGTTGGGAGGTGCGTCAGCTCTGCTGCTTGCCGGCTCCTGCATCAAAGAGCAGCCTTCACTCTGGCCCTTTGAAGTCCGGCAAAATTTCAGCATTGCTGGTCCCAAGCACTGCCCGGGAAGCCAGGGCGGATGTGACTCACCCGAAGGACTCCAAGCCTCCGAAGCCGGGGTCAGACCCGGTGCTCCTTTTATTTAGAGAAAGGAAACCGAACTCTGCTTGGCTCTGAGTTGCTGAGGTTTTACTGAGATGCGGAGGGTGGGTAGGGGGCCTGCTGAGTGCGCCCTGGGTCGTCACCGTGTTTTTTCCTCGCTGAGGTGGTTCATGTGTTGCGGGGGAGGGATGCCATGTGCACCTGTGACCTGTTTTCTGCTCTGCGCTTTGGCTCATCTCTAACGCCGACGTCATCCCGTCCAGCTGTGCTCCTTCCCCGAGGTTGCCTGAACCCAAGGACAGAGAGCACTGAACCCTATGAGCCTGTGTGCTGTGTCTTTTTCCTATTCGTGTGTATCTATGATAAAGATTGATATATCAAGGGGTAAACATCCCTGCAACACCCAGGGGCTGGGCCAGGTCAAGCCAGGAGCTTGGAGTTCCATCTGGGTCTCCCATGTGGGTGACAGGGACCCAGGTGCTTGAGTGGCCCCCAGGGGGCACCCTAGCAGGGAGCTGGGACGGAGGGTAGAGCCCGGACTTGAACCCAGACACTCATTCCCAGCTGTGTCTTAACCGCTGTACCAAACGCCCACCCCATGAACATCTTTTTTTTTTTTTTTTTTTTTTTGACAGGCAGAGTGGACAGTGAGAGAGACAGAGAGAAAGGTCCTCCTTTGCCGTTGGTTCACCCTCCAATGGCCGCCGCGGCCAGCGCACTGCAGCCGGCGCACCGCGCTGATCCGATGGCAGGAGCCAGGTGCTTCTCCTGGTCTCCCATGGGGTGCAGGGCCCAAGCACCTGGGCCATCCTCCACTGCACTCCCTGGCCACAGCAGAGAGCTGGCCTGGAAGAGGGGCAACAGGGACAGAATCCGGCGCCCCGACCGGGACTAGAACCCGGTGTGCCGGCGCCACTAGGCGGAGGATTAGCCTAGTGAGCCACGGCGCCGGCCCCATGAACATCTTTAACTCCATTTTCCCCCATGAGCTTTCTGAAGTCCAGTTGTGCATCCAGAGAGAAGAAGACTCGCTCCCTCCTCTCTCCCTCCCCTACTCATATCTCATTCACTCACATTTGGAGAGTGAACCCCTGGAGAGGAGATGAGATGTCTATTGGTCTGTCTGTCTGTCCCTCTGCCTTTAAAATAAAATAAAATAAAAATAAAATTAAAAAAAACCCAGAAAATGTTAGTGAAGTTGTTTATTTTGGTGCAAAAAAAAAAAAAGTGAAATCCATGCAGCTTTTAGTTAATACACATTTTCCAGGAACTCTTTGAAGATCCTTCATATACGTGGACTTCAAAACTCTTTTGCACTAAAATAAACTTACCTTTTAATTCCATTTTTCATAAAGTTTTTGAAGTCACCTCATAGGTTTTTTTCCTAATAAAGATTTATTTTATTTATTTGAAAGGCAGAGGGACATAGGGAGAGATCGTCCATCCACTTGTTCATTCTCTAGATGTCCACAGTGGCCTGGGCTGGTCCGGACCAAAGCCAGGAGGCCAGAATTCATCCAGGTCTCCCGGATGGATGGCAGGGCCCCAAGCTATTGGGGCATCTTTTACCGCCTTTCCAGCCCCTGCAGGGAACTGGGTGGGGTCAGAGCAGCCAGGACTTGGACTGGCACTCCAGGATGGGGCGCTGGTGTTACAGGCGGGGGCTCTACCTGCTGTGCTACAACACGGGCTGTCATCTCATACTCTCCTCCCTGCCCAGGCCAGCCCGGGGCCACCTGAGCAGCTTCTGCCATCCACTTCTTGTTTGCTCTTAGCTCCAGTGCCCCTGTCTGCTATGCAGCTGGCATGGCAAAGTGAAGCAACCCAGGGCTGGTGGTGCCAGCAGAAACATGCTGGCACTGTGGTGGGTGAGGGGAGAACCACATATGCAAGCAGATGAACTTTATGTTTTGTTTTGCACTCATTTTGCAAAGCCCAAGAGACATGACCTGGGGACGCGGGAGGAGGCACTTAGCCTAGTGGTTAAAGACGGTGGTTAAGAGGCCAGGGTCTCATGTTGGAGTAACTGGTCTGGCTCCTGACTTTAGCTTCCTGCTAATGTAGACCCTGGGAGGCAGAGACACAGGGCCTCAGAGAGAGGAAGTGCTCATGGGATGCCGATGTCCTCAACCTAAATTTTCCAGCTTTGGGATGGTGCAGAAGTAACCCACATTCGGTAGAAACCATGCCTTGTATTTTGAATTTTGATCTTTCCCCGGTACCATCCTCTCTTGCAAGGCTGGAGAGCAGTGGTGGGTACGGCTAACAGGCAGCCCTGTGCCCAGAGGAGAAACACTGGCAACATTCTCCGGGGTGCTGTGTGCTGCGGGGTATCCCGCAAATCACAGGAGATGTCTACACCTTATTACAAAATGGGCTTTGTGTTGGATGATTTTGCCCAACTCTAGGCTACCGGAGTGTTCTGAGCATGTCATTTATTTAGTTGAAAGTCTGAGTTAGAGATAGAGAGAGAGAGGAAATCTTCCATCCATGGGCTCACTCCCCAGATGGCCTCAAAGACCAGAGCTGGGCCAGGCCAAAGCCAAGAGCCAGGAGCTTATGCCAGGTCTCACCCATGGGTGGCAGAAGCCCGAACACGTGGGTCATCTTCTGCTGCTTTTCCCAGGCCATTAGCAGGGAGCTGGATGGGAAGTGGAGCAGTGGGGACATGAACTGGCGCCCATATGGGATGCTGGTGTTACACGCTGTGGCTTTACCTGCTACATGACGCCGGTCCCTCTGAGCAAGTTCAAGGTGGACTGGGCTAAGCTGTGATGTTTGGTGGGTTGGGTGTATTTAGTGTATTTTCCACTGATGGTATTTTCAACTTAGGGTGGATTTGTTGGGACATAACTGCCAAGGTTATGTGAGTCAAGGAGCACTCGTACTAAGTATTATTATTTAAAACTATCTTTATGAGATATAATTTACACAGCACGAAATTCAGCTTCCATGCTTATCATGTGTGCAACTTGATGATTTTCAGCTCATTTACTAAGTTGTGCAACCGTGACCGCTGAATTAATCAGCGGTGATTCACTACAATGAAAGACCGGGGGCTCCTCCCTTCCTAAGGAGAGCAAGTTTATTTAGCTCTTGGTTTTGGAAGCTGAAAATCCAAAGAACATAGCACAGGTTCTGGAAGAGCATATGGTAGACGGTGGATGGCGGGAGCCCACGCAGAGCGAGGATCGCAAGGCGAGACAGGCACAGAGCGGACGGCCTGGGACCACGCTGGCTCCAGGAGCTGAGTAACTCCTCCAGGGACCTACGGATCTCCCACTACCTCCACCTCTTCAGGGCGCCACTGCAGCTCCCAACAGCGCCACCCAGAGGACCAAACCTTTAATCACATGCATCTGTTGGGGGCTGCTATCTACTCTGATCCAAACTCCAGCAAGCGCAGTCCAGCTGCCTAAACGTCCCCTCCTCCCCGGGAGTCTCCTGAGCCCATTGGATGTTGATCCAGTCCTCTTCCTCATTCTGCCCCATGCATTTGCCTTTTCTGTTATTTTACATTTCTCACGTGATATGAGACTCGCTGTGTCTGCAGTCTTAGTTGTTATTACTTTTATTTCTTTTTAAAATGTATTTATTCGAAGGGCAGCGTATCCAAAGAAAGTGAGAGAGAGAGAGAGAGAGATCTTCCATCTACCAGTTCACTCCCCAAATGGTTGCAACAGCCTGGCAGGCCAAAGCCAGGAGCCCAGAGCTCCATCCGGGTCTCCCACACTGAGTAGCAGGGGCTCAAGTACTTGAACCATCTCCTGCCCCTCTCCCAGGTGCATTAGCAGGGAGCTGGATCAGAAGTGGAGCAGCTGGGACGTAAACCAGTGCTCATATAGGGCACCAGTGTCACAGGCAGCCGCGGCTTAACCCGCTGTGCCATAACGACACCCCTTATTATTAATTTTCAAAATCAAATAAGTGTTGAACATCTTTATTTGCCGAGCAGCTGGAGGGGTGTATCCTTCGCAGAACGACCGCAAACTGTGTTTTCCTCTGCAGTGCGTTTGTCACGTCAACTCCGTAGGACATTGCAAAGAAAGATTTCCCAACAGTAAGAAGATTAAACAAACTTTTCCCTGAGTCCTCTGGGAACGGATTATCCTAACCCAGAATGCACCGCGCGCCTCCGGGCTCCCCATTGCTGCATCCTCAGGTTTGGGGTGGCCTCCCCCACCCCCGATTCTTCACAGGGGCAGTGTCCTGACCACGCCTCTGTCCTGGCGGAAGAAAGACTTTGCTTTCGTGTCATCTTTCTCTTTCTCTTTTTTAAACACATAAGCGGGTTGTGGAGCCCGGTGAGGTGTCACTAGGCCGCCTCCTGCTTCTGTCTGAGGTCCCCCACCTGCGTGGCTCCCAAGGCAAGACCTGGGGAAAGCTTCCCTTCGGTGAAAGCGCGTGCCTGGTGCACATCTGGGGCCTCCCCCGCCACTTCCTGCAGAGCCCCTGGGCAGGCAGGGCCATCCTGTCTCTCCCTCTCTCTTAGGGTGCAGTCCCGGGTGGGGGGATGAGCCAAGGGGACTTGGCCGGCTGGGGCTCCCCGATTCCTTCTGAAGGAAGCTCATGGTCCTGCCGATGTCTGTTTCAGACGAGTTAAAAAACAAAACCGTGTGTGAAGATCAGGAGCTGAAACTGCACTGCCACGAGTCCAAGTTTCTCAACATCTACTCCGCGACCTACGGCAGGAGGACCCAGCAGAGGGACGCCTGCGCCTCGGAGGCCGGGTGGCTGCCCCCGTTCGGTAGGTGTTGTCACGTGGTTATCTTTAAGGCGCTGTCTGATGTCTCGGTTTGGCCCCCCAGGGAAGGAAGCCGTACAGGTGGCAGGCACCTGGGTCAGAGGGAAGGTCAAGGGCAGGGAGGGCGCATTTGTGCTCCATATCCGTGAAGCTCAGTTGTTCAGCCAAGTAGCTATTGAGCACCTGCTGTATGCAAGGCCATCAGTGACCCATACAGAGTCCACTCCTTGTGGAGCTGACATCCAGCACTGGACAGGGAGGCTGTGAGCAGGCAGATGGGAAATGAGCCAGTGCAGTGGGCGGTGCATAATGACCGTAATGATACGGTGAGCAGTCCATGTCCGCAGGCTCTGCCTGTGTGGGTTCAACCAGTCGGACGTGTTGTGTCCGTTGTCTGCAATGCGTCTGTCTTCTCTTGTTGCTATTCCCTAAATGACACAGGCCAGCAGCTGTGTGTATAGCACCTGTGCGGTGTTAGGAGTTACGAGCAACCCAGAGATGATTGAAAGTACACAGGGCAGTGTCCGTAGGCCCTGCTCCCTGCTCCCTGCTCCTGCCTTAGGCAGAGACCAAAGCCTGGGCCATTCCTGGGGTCTGCCCACGCCTGCACTTGCTTCCCTCCCCTTTGAAACGCAGATCTGTGGCTGGCCTTCTCAGCGCCCTGCTCCCTGGGTGATCTGGGTTCCAGAGCTACAGGAGGAGCCGCCGGTGATCTGAACTCTCGCTGCCGAAAGAAACTCACTCCTTTCCTCCTCTTTGTTTGCTTGCTTTCTCTCTTTCATTCTTCTTTCTTCTTTTCAATCCTAACTTTTTCTTTATTCAAGGAGGCCTTTCTAGAACGTTCCTGGGGATCGTGCAGGTTCTTTAGGGGTTCTGCTACCTGCTCCGTACACCATGTCTTAATTTGGGGGCGGAGCTCCCGTTTCTCAGGTGTACACCAACTCTCACCTGCTATACCTGTTTGGGAAGCGGTTCTAAGTGACTGTTTCGGGTACTCTGTCCAGCGGGATTCATTCGGCCACGTACGTAGACGTGTCGGCTGAATGCTCTGTGTTCGCCTTACGTCCCTAGTGGGATGGGGGTTGGGTTTCAGTGGGAAAAGTGACCCGACAAGGACAGTGTCAGCAGACACCATGGCTGGAGACAGACTTCATGGAGAGTTGGAGGGAGCCACCGGCGGTAACCAGCCCTCACTGATGCTGCGGGGATGGGCTGTGAACGGGAGACTGGTCCTGGCTTAGCCATTCAGCTTGAAGATTTTATTTATTTATGTGAGAGGTAGAGTTACAGACAGTGAGAGGGAGAGACAGAGAGAGAGGTCTTCCATCTGCTGGTTCACCCCCCAAATGGCCTCCCCCATCCTTCCCAGTCTCCAGCTGTGCTCTGTCCCCTGTCTCTCCCCTTCCCTCTCTACCTCCGGGCCTTTACACAAGCTCTGTCCCTATCCATATCTCAGAGAGCTTTCCCGGGACACCTGCCAGCATGGCCCTCGTCCCTGCCGACTCTCTGGAGCCATCGCTCTGTCCGATTCTCTTCCTGGCTGGATAGAGTCCATGTCATATGTGTCCCCATCTCCTTAGAAGCTGAGCTTTGCAGGCACTGTGTTTGTGGAATTCCCAGCCCAGCAGCTGGAGTGGTTCCTGGCACAGAGCGGGCACCCGTGCCAACCTGGAGGTGCTCGAATGAATCAGGGCCCCTGTAGGGGTGCCCACGTCGGGTTCCTGCAGAGTCGTGGGTGCCGGGTCACGGCCTGGGAATGTGGGTCTGGTGCTGTCACAGCTTCCAACCTCCCATGAAATGCTGGAAATCTGTGTGTTTTTTTTTTCTTTAAGTGAAATGTTCCAACTTCTAAAACACTCTGGGAGCCAAATAAAACATGCCTACAGGCCACATCCGGGCCCCAGGCTGCCAGTGTGTGAGCTGTGCTCTGCATTTCCAGTCATTACTGCAGCTCAGCCGCATTGCTTTGAAGACGGGGAAGAGCCATTTATACCTAACCAGAGACGCTGGGGCGAGTCTGGTAGGGCGACGGCAGAGGGGCGGCTTGTCGGGGCGCTCAGCGGGCGGAACCCCAGAACTTCTGGTTGCAGAGGGTGATCCTTGTACTTTTCCATTGCCTGTCAACTAGCGTCTAGCCAAACCTCACAAGCTTCAGAATGTGGGTACTTCTTTGGAAGCATAGTTGGGAAAGACCAGCTGGGCTTTGGTGAACGGCTGCATGGCCAGGGACCCCTTTGGTTTTCCCAACAGCTGGATTTGGCTTTTTATTTTTTTATTTTTATTTTTTTTACAGGCAGAGTGGACAGTGAGAGAGAGACAGAGAGAAAGGTCTTCCTTTGCCGTTGGTTCACACTCCAATGGCCGCCGTGGCCAGCGCGCTGCGGCCGGCGCACCGCGCTGATCCGATGGCAGGAGCCAGGAGCCAGGTGCTTCTCCTGGTCTCCCATGGGGCAGGACCCAAGCACTTGGGCCATCCTCCACTGCACTCCCGGGCCATAGCAGAGAGCTGGCCTGGAAGAGGGGCAACCGGGACAGAATCCGGCGCCCCGACCAGGACTAGAACCTGGTGTGCCGCCGCCGCAAGGTGGATGATTAGTTTAGTGAGCCATGGCGCCAGCCTGGATTTGGCTTTAGCACTCAGCTATCAAGAGAGAGAACTTCCGGTTTTTCTAAAATCCCACCGTCGTCACGTTGTGATTGCTCTGCAGAAACACATGGTAACATTTAGTAGAGACACACAGAGTCAGCCACAGCGTTCGCCCATCCAGCGAAAAGATGTGGATTTTTCTGGATTTCATCCAAATCCAGGTTGTAGGGCTAAGAACAGTTTTACGTAGCAGGCAACTCTAACTTTTTTCCCGCAAATTTATAGCACGGGTGTTTCCCTGTGTGGCCAACAAGATCCTGAGAGTGTTTGTCACTTCCTAATGTCTTAAAGGGATATGTTACACAACTTGTGTAACTCTTTCCCAGTGGACGGGTTCTGTGTTGTTGTTTCCAATTTTCAAATATCATAAACAATATATAACGAGCTCTTGCTTGTCTTGCTCTCTTCTGCCTTATTTCTTTGGGATACAGTCCCAGAAGTTTCATACCAGGAAAGGACATGGGGATGTTTATAATTCTTTGTACACATTGTCAGAGTTCTTTCCCAAAACTTTCTGTACCAGTTTATCTGCATAAACCGTGACACACAACTTAGGTACCCAAGCAACTCTGCCAGCCTTTCTTTTTTCTTTTTAAAAAGATTTATTTTATTTATTTGAAGACAGAGTTACAGAGAGATCTTCCATCTGCTGGTTCATTCCCCAGATGGCCATCGTGGCTGGAGCTGAGCTGATCCAAAGCCAAGACCCGGGCTTCCTCCAGGTCTCCCACGTGGGTGCAGGGGCCCTAGTACTTGGTCCTTCCTCTGCTGCTTTCCAGGGCGCATTGTCAGGGAGCTGGGTCAGAAGTGGAGCACCCGGGACTGGAACCGGCGCCCGTATAGGATGCTGGCTCTGCAGGCTGGGCTTTAACCCGCTGCGCCACAGTGCCAGTGCCGTGGAAGCCTTTCTTGTGTGTGTTTCAGAATGTTTCCAATTCAAGAGCTTCAAAGTGGTCCGCCAGGGCTGCCTGCATCGGCCTTTCCTGGGTTCTGAATGAGTTTCCCCATTTCCCTGGGCTTTGTTACTGTTCCCGTAGCTGTGTTGGCACTTGCTCTCGTCATCTCTCCAGCCTTTCTCCTTTGGGGATCTTCATGTGTTTGTTTGTTTATTTTACAAAATTGTATGAGCTCTAGGCGGAGTAGAGACAGTAACTCTTTGCAAGCTTTCTGGGCTGTCGGTCTCCTACTCCTGCAGCCTCTGGCCTTATCCACAGGGGATGTGTCCAGGACTCCTGTGGGTGCCTGAAACCACAGAGTCCCAAACCCTATAAGGAGAGACTTCAAAAAGTTCATGGAAAATTTGCTTTTTTTAAAAAAAAAGATTTATTTATTTATTTATTTGAAAGTCAGAATTACATAAAGAGAGGGAGACAGAGACAGAGAGAGAGATCCTCTATCCATTGGTTGGAAGGGCTAGGCTAGGCCAACTCCAGGAGCCAAGAGCTTCTTCCAGGTCTCCTATATGGATGGTAGGGGCCCAAGCACTTGGGCCATCTTCTGCTGCTTTTCCAGGCACATTAGCAGGGAGCTGGATCAGAAGTAGAACAGCTGGGACTCAAACTGGTGCCCATATGGGATACCAGTGTCACAGGCAGTGGCTTTGCCAGCTACGCCACAGCGTCAGCCCTAGCACTACCTCTTAATTCTGCTTTCCATGAGCTTTCTGAGGTCCCTCTGTACGTGCACTTTGTTTTCCTGTATAACCGTGCCTATCTGTGATGGAGGGATGCTGAGTTAACCGCCGAGCGGGTGCTGAAACACTAGACGAGGATGGTTCCCATGCTGAGCGGGATGCGGCGGGAGGGACCGCGTGAGACTTCATCCCGCTCCTCGGACAGTGCACAGCTGAAACCTTGGGAGTTGTTTGTTTCTGGAATTTTCCATGTATATTTTTGGACCCTGGCTGACTGTGGGTAACGGAAACAGTGAAAAGCAAAACTATAGATGAGGGGGAATGACTATTTTTTGTCTGAACGTACAGTTTCGGTTCGGTGTGTAGGGCTTCTTACTTCTTTGGTTCTGTGGGGGTCACATGTACAGTAAGTGCTGAGGGCCACCTGGTACATTCAGGGCTGTAGCTATGACACCACTGTACCCCATAAGCACCTTCAGGGCTGCCGTGGCCTGCCTGTCGGTACCCCCAAATGGGAGGTGCACTCTTACTAAACAGGACAAGAGGGTGCTCACACTCGCCTTCAAGGAGCCTCTGGGTGCCAGACTGGGAGGAAGGAGGGTAGGGTCACAATGTCTGTGTCCGGTGCCCCAGCCTGGTTCCACCTGAAACGCATCAGGGCAGGCCAGGCCGTGACGCGACAGGTGCAGAGGTGACCTGCGTTGGTCACACATCATACCCTTG